AACTGAAAATATGGATGGAGGACAACAGAGCTGCTTCATGGAAGAAGAACCTCAGCTTAGCCTGTTAGCTTTAGCATTAGCCCAGATGCTATCACCATCACTCGCTAGCAGCCTCACACCGATGACCTATCTACGTAATTTACCCAGAATGCTTTGTGTGTAAATATAATGGCCCCATCTGAGTAATATATTTTTTTAATTTTTAGAATAGAAATTCTAAAAACTGAACGTCCTACAGTATTTTTACAGTTTTTATTTTACAGTTAAAATAAACGTTTATTAAATAAAGTCTAATGTAACAACTAATCATGGATCCCTTTAATGATTTACTTGTTTTATGAAATATTAGTAATGCCTTATTTTTATAAAACAGGAAAATAAATAAAATAACATGTATTTGTCCAACATTTATGGTTACATCTGCAGATTGCAGTTATAGTACCACTCAAGCTCTGATTTAAAATATATTTATTTATTAGTTTATTCTTAATATGATTGTATTTTCTAGGAGTTCAGTTACAGAAACATCATAAATTCCTCCACAGCGTTTTTTATTTTATTTTGTAATTTTGACATTCTAACTAAGTACTCTGTATTAGTACTTGGTATTGGTAAGTACACCCCTATATTAAATTAACTGCTTCAGAAATGTGGATGCAAATGAACATAAAACTTTATGTAAATAGAAAAATTTTCAGAGATGTTCTGTTGAAAGCTAAGGTGGGAATTTGGGGAAATATTTTATATTTGAAAGGGAAATGATGGGATTTACCTGTCCAGTCTGGATGACAACATCCAGCTTCACTCCCAGCTTTTATTTTTAGCGACAGCCATCACAATGTTTTTGAGTTTGTTTTTTTCCTTCCTGTGGTGTCGTTTTTGTCGAGCTGGAACCTCTGCAGGCTGGCATTTCTCTTTGCAGCTGCAAAGTCTGAAAACAGGAACAAGGTACTCGTTACCAGAAATGCTAGAAAACGTGCATGAGTAAAAATAGTTCTCTTCAAACCTAACAAGCTATTTGAGTAAAAATCGCACCAAAAACATTAATTAAAGTTTGTATTTTAGAGCCTTTTTCCAGACACAAGTAAATAAACACAATGTTTAGAAATCATTAGTTATTAAAAGAATGAAGATAAATCAATAATGTTGCTACTTCTGTGCTTACAGCCCTGCAGAGGTACCTTTTTAAATATTGTATTCGTGTTTGAGATCATAGTACTTTTCTTTTTTCTTCTGCATCAAAAACGTCTCTGGCATCCTTGTTTCCTGCACAAAAACTCTTGCCTTGGGTTTTAAAATGCCAAACAAGGCGCAGCTTTTTATTTTTGTACCTTCCTATTTTTTTTAAATTATTTAAACAGCAGGAAAGCAAACATAAAACTGTGTTCGCACCTGTTTGTCTCTCAGCTCCACTAATGAGGTGAAGAACCTGCTGCAGTCTCTGCCCAGAGCCAGCGAGCCCAGGGAGGTGCTGTTCGAGGACCGGACTCGAGCTCACGCCGATCACATCGGGCAGGGCTTCGARCGTCAGACCACAGCAGCCGTGGGGGTTCTGAAGGCTGTCTGCTCTCTAGAAAGGTAAGGAACACACAGCCACATACAGACTTGTGTTTACACAGCTGTACTGAGAGATTTTATATAAAATCACTTCTCTTCCTGACTCCTCCCTGCCTTGTTTCCAGTCCGGAGCCTCCTCGTGTAACCAAAGATGTCGTGTGTTTCCATGCTGGTGATTTCCCTTACGTAGTTCAGAGACTGCAGTTGGATTTATACGAACCCCCTCTGTCTCAGGTATTACAACACACACACACACACACACACACACACAC